CACAGCTCTCTGACTTCTTCCTTTCAACCAGGTAGCACCCTACCTCACTACTTGGTCTTCCAGACCACACTTCCTCAATTTACCTATGAGGATGCTATGGGAGATGGTGTCAAATGCTTTACTGATATCCAGATAGACCACATCCACTGCATGGCCACCATCCATCCACCTGGTTATGTCTTCATAATTTTGTTCAAGCAAAGCCACGCTGACTGCTCCTAATAACTTTCTTATCCTTGATATGCCTAGAGACAGTGCCAAGGGTAAGATGTTCCATCACCTTTCCAGGGATGGAGGTGAGGCTGACCAGTCTTTAGTTACCCAGGTCATCCTTCCTGCCCTTCTTGAAGACTGGAGTGACATTTGCTTTCCTCCAGTCTTCAGGCACCTCACCTGTTGTCCGTGACTTACCAAAGATGATAGAGAGTGACCTAGCAATGACTTCTGCCAGCTCCCTCAGCACCCACGGGTGCATCCCATCAGAGCCCATGGATTTATGGATATTCAAGTGTTCAAACTGATCCCTAACCCAGTCCACCTCAACTTGGGCAAACTCCTCCTTTATCCTGACTTCCTCTGGGGCTCCTGAGGACAGTCTCCAGCAGTATAGACAGAGGCAAAGAAGGTGTTCAGTAACTCTGCCTTCCTTCTGTCCTCTGCCTCCAGGGCACCCACCTCATTCACCAGAGGGCCTACATTGCCTCTAGTGTTACTAAAAATACTGTCAAAAATTGCCAATGCCAACTGTATTTTAAGTCATCATGGCGGGGTATTGGGAAAAGTTTGCAATTAGCAATAATCGCGCCTCAGATTAACCTCATTGGCTACATTACTGCCACTGCGCAAAGCTCCAGTTTAAAACCATTGCCCCTCATCCTATTACTACATGTCCTTATAAGCACCCTCCCCATCTTTTCTGTAGGCTCCTTTTAAGTACTGCAAGGCCACTATAAGTTCTCCATGGAGTCTTCTATTCTCCAGGCTGAACAACCCCAACTCTCTCAGCCTGTCCTTGTAGGAGAAGTGCTTCAGCCCTCTGATCATCTTTGTGGCCCTCCTCTAGATCCACTCAGCAGGTCAATGGCCTCCTTGTGTTGGGATCTTCAGAGCTGGATGCAGCACTCCAGGTTAGGTCTCACAAAGAGCAGAGTAGAAAGACGGGATCACTTCCCTTGACCTGCTGGCCACTCTTAGTGCAGCCCAGAATACAGCTGGTTTTTTGGACTGCCAGTACACTTTGCCAATTCATGTTCAGTTTTTCATCTACCAGCACCCCCAAGTTCTTCTCTGCAGAGTTGCTCTCTATCCGCTCATCCCCCAGCCTATATTTGTGCTTGGGATTGTCCTGACCCAGGTGCTGTACCTTGCACTTGGCATTCTTGAACTTCATGAGGTTGACACGGGCCCACCTCTCAAGCCTGTTAAGGTCCCTCTGGATAACATGCCTTCCCTCCAGCGTGTCAACCGCACTGCACTGCTTGGTGTCATCAGCAAACTTGCGGAGAGTGCGCTCAATCCCATTGTCTATGCACAAAGATGTTGAACAGTGCTGGTCCCAATGCTGGCCCTAGGAGTGCCACCCATCACTGGTCTCCATTTGGATACCAAGTCATTAATCACAACTCTTTGAGAGTGGCCACCTAGCCAATTTCTTACCTACTGAGTAATCCATCCACCAAATCCATGTCTTTCCAAATTAGAGATCAGGATGTCATGCAGGACAATGTCAAATGTTTTGCTTTATACAAGTCCAGGGAGATTACACCAGTTTCTCTTCTTTTATCTACCAGCTCCGTAACCTCATCATAAAAGGTCACCAAATTTGCCAAGCAGGTTTTGCCCTTGGTGAAGCCATGTCAGCTGCCACCAACCACCTCCTCATTTTCCATGTGCATTAGCAGAGCCTTCAGGAGGACCTGCTTCATTATCTTGCTGGGCACAGAAGTGAGACTGACTGGTCTGCAGTTTCCTGGGTCTTCCTTTTCTCCCTTTTTGAAAATGGGGATTATAAAAATGTAGCGCTTCAGACAAAAACACCTAGAAGAGCCTCCTAGAACAAAGTGCTTCCTCTTTTCCAAACCACAGTTTCTTCTCCATGAAAATTTTTAAAATGTCAGTGTCTTCATAGAGAGATTAAAGAGAAGCAATATACAGCAATTTTATTCAGGTCTGGTGGATAGAAGAGCTAATACCTTGGTATGACTGTTTTGTCTCCTGCTCCCCATTGTTAGATGTGCAACCCTGAAGTGAGATGATGTCTAATACCCTCCCGTTTGCTCTCTCCTTACTGCCTAGTCTGAGCTGAGTGACGGCATTGCAGTCCTGGTGGGGAGCAACGACAGAGTGCAGGGGATAGTCACACAGCTGGAGGAGACTTGCAAGACAGTTGAGGTAGGTACCACCTCTTTAAATGCAGTTATTTCAATGTTTTTAAACTCTTGGTAATGATTTTTCTTTAGCAGACCTCACTTTACCTAAATGCCTTCCCACATTGTTTGGCTGAAACATTACATGTGCCTTTGTTCAGTGTCGGCTGTGCTTCTTCAACCAAAGGATACATCCTAGTTGCCATCCTGCCTCTGGCATTGGCCATGGGGGTCAAGGACAAAGAGTAAGAATAATCTGTATCAGCACGTCTTGCTCAGCTTTCTTAGTGACGTGGGAAAATAAAAAAAAATTATCACTGAAATTAAAAGCAGATCCAACAAAAAAATTCAACTTCCAGCTCATTTATCATGTAAGATCAGGTTCTAGAGCTATAAAAGACTGGTATTAGTCTAAAGTCTGAATGGGACTGTGAACAGAACTTTAGTCTCAGCCATAGGGTAACCCCAGCGCAGCTCCCAAGTATGTCGGTGAGCTCTATATTTAGTTGCTTTGCCTTCTGCACAGTAATTTTTTAATATACTTACATTGTCCTTTAAGAAGTCTTGTTTTGTTGCCTGTGGGAGGAAGGAGTTTGGGCTCTTTCAAATTTTCTGGTAAAGGTCTTACTTTTACAGAGCTGGAATTAGTTTTGTGTCATTTAATAGCAGAAGTGGCTTTCATTTCCTCCAGGAGGTTTTGCACCAGCAAAGCAAATATAAATACCAGCTCTGAAAAATTTGAACATCACAGAGCAATAGGCTGAAAGGAGCTCATATGAATTGATTTTACGATCAGAGTTTGATGAAGCATCTCGTGAAGGAGTCACATCTCTCTCAGCTCGATTAGAATTATATTGACCCTTCAGAGCTGGAGCAGAAAAGAGAAACAGCAGAGAAAAAGAAGTTAATCCAAGATGTATAGATTCTAATTGGTAAGAAAAATTGATTCCACAACCTGTGTACACAATTGCCTAAGGCTCCTATTTCCCTCAGAGCAAGGAAGAACAGAAAATGTCGAAGTTTGGTTCAAAGAACATAAACCTGTTAGCCCAAGTAAATGAGAGCATGTTAGCAGCACTCAGAACTTTGTAGTCAGGAAGCCTTCATGTTGCAGGGATTAAATTGGCTGCTATCAGGACTTTGCAGACAGAAACAAGCCTTTCAAGTAGGTAAACTGCAGAAATTTGAATGATACAAAGCCAAAGCTTATAGTCATTTAAGCTGAACTAGCTGAACCAGAAGCAAAACTTCAAACATGTAGTGTGAAGTATGGAGAAAACATGGTTCTAAAAATACTTTAACAAATACAACAGTTTCTGAAACTAGCTTCCTCAGAGTCATCCGCTTAGTTTCACGTCTAACCTTTAAACTCGAAGGCCAAAGAAAGTGCACCCATTTTTACCTTCAGATCTTTTAACAGGTTTTTCACGTTTAAAGTCAAAGATGCAGAAAATAGATCTTAGAGCTTACCTTACTATGTTGCATTTCAAGCAAATCACATTTCCTACATTCAAGAGCTTTGTCTGAGTTGACATCAGTTTGTCCTTGAAGATGAAAAGCTACTGCTGAAGCTGAGAATTGTGCACACATGGAAATAATGCTTGCAGTCCAGGACTGTCTCTTCTCTCCACTTAACACTGCAGAGAACAATATCTGCCTTAACAGAAAATACATGACCATTTTGCCTTTAACTGGAATAGGCAATAACAGTTCTATATTTAGCTATTGCTCCTATGCAACCTTAAAAACCAGAAAAACAAACAAAAAATTGATTAATCCTTGTATAGCTTTTAACTGATTGAAAGGTAGACCATATTCACATATTAAAATGAAAGTTAAAGAAGGATATACGAAATGCTAAATACTGGAAAACAATAGTAAATAATTGTCTTATTCAGCCCTGTGAACAATGGGAGTCAAATAGTGAGGGAAAAATTAGAGTGTTTCTTTCAAATGCTAATAGTGTAGTCCAGTTGATACAGATACTTCAGAACAAGCAGTGCAACTCATGTTCAGCAGCAAGGACTCCTTTCTCTTTGCTGTAACCATGCTTTAAAAACCAGATAGGGTGAGAACTTTTTAGAATGGAAAGTCATGCATTTGTTAACCTTTTTCATTATTAAGAATCTAATTAGAGTAATTCCACCAGGAAGAGATTTTGTATGGAACATACTAAGAGAGACTTTGTATGGAACATATTTCAGAAATATTTTAACATTAGCAGTTAGGGACCTATTTTGCACTCTCACTCAAGAGGCTTACAACACTGTAATATCTACTGGGCAGAAATATTATATAATAGAGTTTAGAGATAGGGAAGGATCTCTCAGGGCATGCTGTTATCGCCCTCTTGGTCTTCTTCCCCTAACGCTTGTCCTGTGTGAAATAGCAAAGACAGCGCACACCTGTCTTGAAGATTAGGGTATTTTACAAGTGGTCTGAATGACATTTCAGAGGAGGTCATTGTAGACTAAATCAAAGAGGACTCTGGGACAAAAGTGCAGGAAATAGTGGGAGAAAGCTAGGAGGGGAGTGAAAGAGAAGAGGAAGATTATTTGAGGTCTGAACAATGGAGTAACACCCATGAACTGTGACTCACTTTGAAATCTTCCTTATCTCCACCCTATAATTTACTAATCAGGAATTTCTGGGAAGTAGCAAAGACTTCCAGACGGGCAGGACAAACCTGCCCCACCGCAAGAAATTAGAAGCCTGAGTTTAGTCTAGTCTTCCTCATCAGGAAGCAGAGGTGGATATTTGGGTTAGTGCAACAAGATCTGTATTCACTCCCCACCCCTCAACGTAGGCAGTGATTTTTGGCCACACATCCGTCTTTAAAAGTCTTTCTTCTCTGAATGATACAGAGCAGACTGTAACCACTGATAGGAAAGAGCCCTGGCTTAAAGTCAAGAAAAAAGTGGGATTCTCTGTGGCCAAGTGCTATGAATAATCAGTCTTATCACTTCCAAAAGTATTGTGGGCCTGTTAATAATCCCGTGCTGCCAGGATCTCAGCATTGTGCCTCAAGGGATGAAGATGAGGAATTGATTCAGCCTCAGTTCCTAGGAAAGAGATGTAAATAATCACCATCATCCACAACCAGGTATAACCACAATAAGGTTATGCCACAGGGCACACAGATGACTCAAGTACTTCTATTTGGTAGACCTCAGACATTATAGATAACCTGTCTCCAATTTCCTCCCCATAAATCCTCCCTTGCAAGTGCAGCGTATTCTTTTTAGAAAGTACTCAGTGAAGCAGTCGTCAAACCCATCCTCCTTACTCAGTGAAATATGCTATGTTGTCTGGTTGGACGAACAATAAAAGTGTCCCAGAAAATGAAGTGAAAATCAGTGCCCGAAGGTAGGATTGGAACCTGATTCCTCTTTCGTGTCTTTGTGCTTTTGTCACATACCGTTTTCTTTGTGGTAACTCTACTTCATTCTGTGCTAAATAAATGAAATGTAGTGGGCACCTATTGCCAAAACAGAATCTCAGAGGGCATACATGAAAATCAAGCCCAGCCAGTATATTTCCAGATTTTCTAGTACAAAAGTAAAATTCTCCAGAGCTGATCCAAGATGATTGTTCTTTTTAAAAACATTCTGTTCATGCAAATGAACCCAGCTGCTAATAAGGGGCGGGGGGGGGGAAGGAGTGGAGATGGTGGGATGTGTGTGTTACTTTTCCTGCAGACTTTGATGCATCACTATAGAAATCTTAAACACTTTTCACAATTTTTCTGCAGACTGAAAAGTTATACAGTAACCTGTTTTTGGGCTTTCAGTGACTTGAAACTCAGAGTTTGAGAATAGTTTTAAAACTTTTGTTCCAATAGCTTGGACTTTGAAAATTACGAAAGTCTCTGGGGTCATAGAGAATCCTTTGCACTGTTCAGAAAGAGGAATTCCTTTGATAAAAATGTTTCCAAGTAACTGTAAAAATAGAAACTCTTTTAAGAACATAACATGTTTAACATAAACCAAATGATTCACAGGAATGCTGCAGACGACAGAAAGAGCAGCTGTGTGAAAAATTCGATTATCTCTATTCTGTACTGGAAGAAAGAAAAAATGAGATGACACAAATAATCACTAGAACCCAAGAGGAGAAACTGGAACACGTCCGGTCCCTGATGAAAAAGTATGCGGATCATTTGGAAGCTGTGTCAAAGCTGGTGGAATCAGGAATCCAGTTCATGGAAGAACCAGAAATGGCTGTGTTTTTGCAGGTATAAAGTCTATAAATAGAGACAGAAAAAAAATAATGGGTTTATCAAAACACTACTTAAGCATTTCTCAATTTTAGGCACATTCAGATTTTGGCCATTTTTAAGTGAACATTTACACAAACTCATTTTTTGAACATGTGCACAGCACAGATTTATATCAGCACAGATAAATGACAAATTTTCTTGTGAATAGTATCCAAACCAAGAACCTGAGTATTTGCTATTTGCGCCAAAATATACTATCCTGTGTATGAATTTGTGGTCCCCAAAGAAGAAACAGGAATTTTAACATTTTCCAACATATCTTTATTGTTCCACCATTATAATACAGGTGCATAAGAACTTCCATGAGTTCAGGTTTCATTTGCATATTGACAGAGTGATTAACTTTCCAATAATTAATTACTTATGTTTTAAGTCATATTTTTATGCCTTTACTTTCAGCTTGGTTTGTTCTGTTTTCTCCCATAAACTTAGGAGAGCTGATGAGGAAATCATTAGCAGGTTGTCCAGTGAATTCCTTGGTGTGGTATTTCTGTCCTACAAGTTTACAATTCCTCTATATTAAAAATTGCAAGGGTGTTTGCTACAAAAAAAAAAAAAAAAGACAACCAAAACCCAGAAAAAACCTGAACCAACAAACCTTTATTTTCATCAAAGAAGAGTACAAAATTCTTTCCAGATTAAAAAAATTACATGGCTCCAGAAGTACATCCTTATGGATAGTCAAAGATATAGTTACTGTAACTAAAGATGCTAATGGAACAATTATTTTTCACTGCAAACACACAAAAACAGAGCAAAAATATTTCCATTTAATTGTTGTAGAAATTGTATGTGTTTCCTGTTATTTTCAGATTTTAATTAAAAAGTTGACAATGAACAAAGAGATTTACTCAGTTTTATACTAATTACCACCCAAATTTGATCTCATTCGTAGCTCTCATGGTTGTCATTTATGAGATCCATACTAGAGGGTGTGGAATTAGACCCTGATGCATAAAATCTCTTGAAAAATAGAGCCATTTAAGAAGTAATTTTTTTCCTTTTTGTTTTCACAGAATGCCAAAACATTGCTACAAAAGTAAGTATTGAAACTTGAGACTTGATCTTTATAATTAATCACATACTATCTGCAAATCCAAATACCAATAACTAATCTCTCTGCTTTAGAATTACTGAAGCAAATAAAGGATTTCAGATGGAAAAAATAGAGGATGGTTATGAAAATATGAACCAATTCACAGTAAATCTCAGTAGAGAAGAAAAGATAATACGAGAAATTGATTTTGACAGAGGTATGTAATTTCTTTCACCTAAAGCGCTTTCTTAAATTGCAGCTCAGTGTGATTTACATGATGATACTGAGGAGGAAAACTTGAACTGGATATTTCTCTTAATCCTAAAGTATAATGACAATTTTGTATCAATTATAACCAAAAGCAAAACTCTATCACAATAAAAAAATCACATAACCTACTGATACCATTCATCTTACCTTTTCTGTTGCGCCAACACTTTCTTAGGAAATTATGTTTACTGACTCCTTATGTGTATGGACCACAAAATTAAGCTTTTATCTCTGTCTGTAAAGTACTTGTTTCCCTAAAAGATGCCGTTATTTTATGTCCTGTCTGCTCTAGAATATCTTTAAATAATAGAAAGTTCGCTGCTGAAAGAAGTACTTACAAAAAATATTTTTAAACTGTCTTTTATAATAAGAAATATAACAGAAACATAATCACAGAATCACACAGAATCATAGAATCATTATGGTTGGAAAGGACCTCCAGGGTTATCAAGTCCAACCTTTTTCCCAGGATTTCTCTAACCACTACACCATATCCTCAAGCGCCACATCTATTCGTTCTTTAAACACCTCCAGGGATGGCGACTCCACCACCTCCCTGGGCAGCCTGTTCCAGTGCCTAACTACCCTCTCAGTGAAGAATTTCTTCCTAATATCTAATCTAAACCTTCCCTGGTGCAACTTGAGGCCATTCCCCCTCGTCCTATCATTACTAATTTGAGAGAAGAGACCAACACCAGCCTCGCTACAACCTCCTTTTAGGTAGTTGTAGAGGGCAATAAGTTCTCCTCTCAGCCTCCTCTTCTCTAGACGAAACAAACCCAGTTCCCTCAGCCACTCTTCATAGGGCATGCTTTCCAGCCCTTTCACCAGCTAATCAAAATTCAAGATCACACAGTTACAGAGGGAAGCAATAATTGTCATGTCATGTCATGTCATTTGTCATGACATCATGACTAAAGATGCTTAATATGTCCATATAAGAACGCAGAATTGTAATTCTACATTTACCAAAGTAGCCTGAAATCTAGGCTCATCTACGGCTCTACTTTACAAAGTAAGCCACAAGAAGTTAGCAGAGGAAAACGTTTCAAATAAGCAGATCTCTCCTATTAAAAGGCAACCATAATAGTCGTCTGCATATCTCTAATTTTCCTGCTAGCACTGGATTCTGCTAGTACATCTACCTTTATCAGCCCAGTTAAGTCTCATGCAGATGCCACCCATCGCTTACTCCCCTGCCACAACTTTTACTAACTTCAGGGCATGTGGCTGCTCCCTGCGAGGGACGCTGTGTCCTTGCTGTGCCAGCTGTAGGTTAGGATCCACAGAACTGTCTGTTCTTGGCGCAGAGGTTCGTGTAGCAGAACAGCAGCTGTGGCACCAGTCAGCAGCAGAGGAGCAGGTGTCATCTCACAGGGACAGGAACGTCCAGAGATTTGTCCTGGGAGAGACAATCCCTAATTACAGGTCCATGCCCAGTTCATCCCTGGGATCAGCCACAGATGCCACATCCCTGCCGCATCTGCTGAGAGTGTGACCTTGTGCTCCAGGCACATCCCCCACCATGTGATGGGGAATGTGACACCCACCTCTTGGGGACAAGGCATTAGCAAGGGCTTTGGCAGTCAGGAGTCCAGTCCTGTGTTTAAAACTCCTACTACAGTCAGTTAGGTTCTCTGCATCCAGGCGAGGTGGAAACAGAGATTCAGCACTCTGCTTATGTGAGCGTATCATCTGCCTGCAGAAACATTTCTCTGTTATGAGGGTGTTACTTAATTTGCAGACCTACATTCCTTCTACATACTCAGGCAGAACTATAAACTGTGCAAAATGAGCAGGAAATCTGAAGCTTGGGTTAGTGCATCCATCTAAGTTTATTTCTCTGAAGTGCTAGGATCTCTGAACAACATCCGACATTTGTGAGGATGAATAGTGTGATTACGGAACAGAAAACGTATTGTCGTAGGGCTCCCTCTGGAAACCACCTGAGCCACAAATGCTGACAATAAGATGTGTCAGGTGGTGCAAAAATGGTAGTTTGATCAAGTTTGACAGTCTGCTTTTAGGGACTGGGGTACCCCAAACCTCCAGTCACGTATTGCAAAGAACTGACTTATTATGATGGCTTTAATGGTGTTTAGAATAGACATATTATTTAAATTGTGAGAAGGACTTTTTCCTGGCAGATTGTACCAAACCTGGTATCCTTTCCCCAAAAAGTGCAGGACCGTCCTATACATCCCTCACGAAGATAACTGCATTGGCAGGAATTTCTGTCCTCCTTCCCATGGAAAGAGCCAGCTTAAGATTTTACCATGTGTGTGTTTTCGGTGTCCTTCCTTCTGTGAGGTGCCTGCTGGCAGCTTCATGGCAGGACCCAGTCCAGTCTGGCAGGAGCCGGCTTCTCTGCAATGCCCTCTCCCCAGCTTGCATCCTCTGCCAGGCAGCAGTTTATCAGTAGCTTTGCCCTGCAATTGTAAATGTTTTTTTAATTACAGAAAGACCATAACCCCCTTCATGTGGTGCTCTAACCTTGTCATTCTACATGTGTCCTATCAGAGGAGGAGGGGCAAGAGGAAGAGGAGGAGACAGTGGATGGTGAAGATTTGGATGAAGTCCGCACAGAGTCATCAGGAGAGGAGGAGGAGGAAGAGGTGGAAGAGGAAGGAGTTGAGAGAGCATTACAGCCACCTCAGCAGGAGCTTGAACTGCAGAGCACAGCAGGAGAGACCCCAGCCCCACCCACTCCAGTGCCTCTGCCCTCTGCCCCGACTGATCAGGTAAGGGCCCCCAGCGCCCAGCTGCCCTGCCAGCTCTGCTGAGTGCACCCCGGAAGAGCAAGAAAATGCTCCCGTTGCCTGTAGGCACCGTACATCAGGAGTATGGCTAAGAGAGTCACACTGGAGAGCAAAATTGTTTATTGCCCTGGCACACATATATGCAGCTGTACCCTGTCCTATCCACCTGCATATATATCGCCTGGTAGGCAAAAAGTTATGCTGTTAGCTAAATTGTAATATATATGGCATGCATAAGATATAAATAAAAGAGATTCAGTTTGGGAGTTAAACGCATTACAATGGATGTTCTGCTTGCTGTGATTTAACTCAGACTAACTATTATAAATAAAATGGTTCTTAAAATATTTATACGAAGATAATTTGGCATTCCCCCTGGATTTAGTGAGCTTTCCACCACCAGTTTTTAGATCATAGTTCTAATCTGCTGTCTGTGAATGACATTTGCCACCTTTTGCTCTGGTTATCCTAGGGATATTGCCTAGGTGGATGTAGGGTTATCATACACCAAACAGGAGACAAAATTGCCTCTTACAGGCTAGCAACAAACAGATTCAAGGTGTGAACAATTTAGGCCAGAACTCATTAGAATGAGACCATAATTGTTGCCTATTCTAGAAGTCCTACATAAAAAAACCTACTTCATGTGCTACTTAGATGGCCTTACATACAATTAACTTAACAAATTCTCCCCGTACACAACTTATCCAGTGAAGCTGCTGAGTGGGTAAAGGCTGTTGCAAAGATATTTGAGGAAGCCAGTGTGAAAACAAGAGAGCACGTAAAGAGTCATTGGTTGTCGCAAGCTCCCCACATAAAACAAGGGAAAGTAAATGCTATACATTCATTCTTGCTTTGATTTAAAAACACACACAAGTTTGTACCAGTTCTGTGGAGAGGCTTGATTGATCTAACCAGTTTGTCTTTTTAGGATTTGCACTGACTTAACTAAACTTGTGTTGTCTAACTGATGTAGGTTATTATGCAAACAAGACCTAAACACCAGCAATTCTGCCCACTAATGTGAAGTCCCTCACTTCTAAGATTAAAATGGGAAAGGTATGGCATGCTGCTGTAGCAATAGTAAAATGCCATTAGGAGATGATCAGAAGTGGAGTCAAGCATAGCATGTAGGTGTTGCAGTGTGGGAAATACCTGAATATTAGCTCTTGCCTTCTGGTGAATGTTAGAAAAGCAAAGCAGAAATGTGATAATTGCAGGCACCATGTAGCCGAGCCCCAAGAGCTTGGTGCAGATAGAGTGTTCCAGTTCAGCCGGCTGCTCCCCTTCCTGGCACAGCAGCTGTGCTTGGCTTATAGAATTGACAGCAAGGCTGGTGGGCAAATGTTTCTCTCCAGTGTCTTTGTACTTACCTTATTCTGACTCCTCATATAAACAGACTCGTTGCCAAACATGTTGTTCTTAACCCAAAACCAGGAAGCCATTGGAAGGTACCTACACCTGTTGTTCATGGCTGGTACCAGTTTATGAGGTTCTTATGCAGAATTTCTTTTAGGTTTGAACTGGGTGTTTATCTGAGTTAAGAAACCACTTGCTTACTCCTTTCTCAGCCAGAATCCCTTTCTCAGCTAATTCTACTCTCCTGTTCTCTTTTTTGGATAACGTATTTTCTTTCTCATATCTGTGTCATTCAAATTATAGTTGCTTATGCTTCATTGTATTTCATTCAGACGGTGTATTAGGACAAACCTGTTCCTTACAGTGAAATGTTACAAACACGGAATGCATAGCAACATGGCTACAGCAGGAAGGTAACGTGGTGCACTCTGCTTGTTCTTCTTTTTATCTGTCCTAATTAAGGATGAGGTTGTGACGCCAAGTGGTTCTCAACAGACCTCAGAGTCTGACACTCAAGTGCCAGCCACTGCAGAAACCATCGATCCCTTGTTTTACCCTAGCTGGTATAAGGCTCAGTCACGGCAATCAAGCAGTCCAAGCTCAACCCCAGTGAGCGGGTTGGGGAAAGTAGGGTCTCCTGTTTCTCTGGAAACAAGTGCAAAGAAGGCAGAAGCCCCGGCAACAGCAGCGATCGAGGAGAGTGCACCAGGGAGTGGTAAGGAATGTAATGCCACTGCAGCGACGTCCAAGGTCAGTGCTACCGAAGTCACCCTGGAGGGCTGTGATGCGCAGCAAGGCGGGAACGGCAATTTTTAAGGAAAATGTGACTTGATTTTCCTCTGCATGCTAAAGAATAAGAATAATTTCAGAAACATGGAAACAGCATAAATTATGCTTTCAGCAAATCCACTGGATTTACAGGTGGTTTCAGTATGTTTTGGGCTGACTTTTCAGCTTCAGAGTAACTTGCCGATGTTTGCTTGTGCTTAACTGCTAGCGCACCTTGCTTGTGCGAGCTGTTATCCAAGTTGCTCGTGCACATGGTCAGGAGCTGTTGGAGAGGCTGGTGATGTGTCTGTGCATCAGATACTTGCATGCTTCAGTAGCCAACAAATCCTGTGCATGAGATCATTCTTGTCACCTGTTGAAAGCCTATGTACAACACATACCATCCTAGCACTGCTGGTTGAGCAGCTATGGCTTGGCTTTGCCTTCTGCAGCTCTGTGGCTGCACCTAGAGTGGAGTGGAGTATACAGCTTCCCTATGTGAACACAAAGCTGTGAAAGTATTTACCCTGAGCCTTCTTGTGTGTTTGATTGCGTCTCAGTAATTGCTATGTTTTCCTGGGTTCAGATCTGTTGCAGAGAGTTTCTTCCAAGGATTCTTGGGACTTTATTAAAGGAGAGTGTGAAGATAATATATTCCAGTTCTGTGTTAGAATACCAGCAGCATGATGGCATAACAGAGACTGATGTGTTGGGTATGGGAGGGTGCTTTCCTTAAAACAACAGTGTTAGAGTTGATACAACATGAAGTTGAATATTTCTTCTTCTGCATATGTGTACAAACTCCACATGGGTCAAAGATCCAAGGAGCAGAGCTGAGGGAGCTGTGTGTGAGGGATTTGCACACTACACCAGCTCCTGTTCTAGTGCCTGGCTATCAACTCATGAGCATCACTCTCTAAATTAAACCATCCTGATTTACAGTCTTAAGCTATATGTTCTGGCAAAGGAATTACCTGTATGTGTGCAATGAGAGGAGATTACGTGTGTGCATGCGTGTGTGTGTGTGTGAAAAAGCACATGGGTAGTATTTCTTGCTGTTTCTTTTAAAGTTGAAGTCACTGATTTAGCATATATAAACAGCCCTACCATGATAAACCATTACATGATGGGCAAAAAGTTAGAAGGAAAAGGAGTTCAGACAGGTATAATAAAAGGGGCATTTATCTTTTAACTGGAGGATTTAGTTAACGACACTTGAATTTGGTGGTGGAAAAATTCTCACTAACTTTGGTCTTCGTAAAAGTAATATCTGACCCCAAAATTTCAGTAGTTATTTCTAAAGTCAGTGTTTGATTTTGGAAATATTTGAGTGGAAAAAAAGAGAGTATTTTAAAACTATCAAATTAGCCATGACCTTATCCTCTTAACTAAATTCCAAACAAGCTGACAAAACCAGCTAAATTCACAGCAACATTAATTGCTGCTGTTTCTTGGTATCAGTTCTGCTAATGACTGGGCAGCCAAACCTCACCACAGGCAGGTAAAATCCTCCCTGGGTAAATTCCCTGGGAGGTGGACTGACTGTGGTCTGCTTCCCTGTGTCCTAATTTACCAACAGCGAGTAAGGGAGCAAAATTAAGGTTTGATGTGGCCAACTGTCCAAAAAAACCAGTGCCTGTGGTTTTTCAGTCACACCAAAGCAGCAATCTGGTACCCAGCTCTCTTAATCATTGTGTGTTCAGAAAACAGGCACATGGGAAAGATGTCAATTCCCTTTGGTGTGCAAATTTGGGGGTGCTGGGTTTTGATATGTTCTCAGATCATGAGTGACACTGACATTTTGGGGGGAGAAGGGTGTTGAGGAATGTAGCATGCGGTTCTGGGGCTGGGGGGGAGGAAGGAACAGGGGATGCAGCTGAAGATGAGCTTGCCCCTGGACTTTAGACAGAGGCAGGGATAGGAAAGCTCAGAAAGCAGAAATGTGCAGAATGTGTTGAAGAACAGAAACAGCAAAGTGACTAAACTAGGGAAGGGTGATGCCACGAGATGATGTCATGGTCGGGTTTGCAGATCTGAGCTGAAATGTGTCTATGTCATGAGCAAAATGGTCTCTGTCATGTGGCAGTGTTCATTTTCAAGTATGTGAACTTCAACTTTGTTTTTTTCCTGCATGTGATTTTTACACAACCCACTCTGAAATGCCGTATCTGTTTTTTTTTTTAATACCTGGCTGATGTTCCCCACACCACTGTTTTTGCTCCCTTCCTCCAATTAAATGATATCATGGAAAAGGGCTGTGGAAACAGAGCTTTTTCACTTCACGTAGTGATAATAACTAGTTCATGTCATGACAACACTGGTGAAGCAGTCTTCTTATTTTCTCACAGGAGTTAGCATTCTGCATATCAGTTTTGGCATTTCTTATCATACTACATCATCTTTGGAATCTGATTCAATACTTGATTTGTACTTTCATGGGTAGGAAATATTTTGTTTTACCATTAACTAACAGTTAAAAGAGTGTCTCTGGTGATGTTCCTACATGGTTTAAGAGGATTTTTCCCCCTTTCTTCCCACCAAAAAACATCATGCTAGTTCGCAATACAAGCTGCCTAAAACATTTTTGACTCGCACCATTGGAACGCCACCCTTCAGCTTAATCCTGCATGGTTAAACATTGCATCTCCCTGGTTCAAAATTAAGAGGGACATTTCCTCCCTCAGATATATGGGCTTATATTTCAGTTGCTGTTCACTTGACCAGCAGGATGGAGAACCTGTGGGTTGACAGGAGATGTGAACAGCCCCAAACTTGTTCAGTCCAACAAATGGGGGAGGATGATCTGGAGAGCAATGGTTGTCATCGGAAGGATAAACATGGGGAAGAAAAATGCACTGAGTAATCCTGCTGCCGGAATTCTCACAATGAGCAAACCACGAGTGCTCCCTTGGAGAGGTGATTCGAGCACGTGGGGACCTCGAGGGGAGCAGAGCTTGAGCCATTCGCCCAAGGGAGGACCACCATGGAGAGTCCCCTCACACCCCAGCCCACACAACACACCTCACATGCTGAAGACTCCTCTTCAGGTCCTTTTTCAACCAAAAAAACCACCCAAAGCCATCTTCCTACACTTCCAGTGAGCATGGAGTACCAAACATGGCTCTGAAAAGCATCCCTGTGCAGCTAGGGGAGATCCCAACCCTTTAGACACCCAAGGTCAATGTGTGCTTGTAAATATCTATGCTTTAAAAATGTTTTTCTGTAGGCAAAGGTTTTTTATTTCCTCAGGTCACACTAATTAAGAGCTGAAATATCTACAAGATCAAGGACTAAGAGCTTCACTACTCAGTGAAGTGGTCCTGAATGTAGATAAGTATTCTATAACACCTCTTCTGGAGTAGGTCATTTTTGGTAGACGTTGTCCATAACTGAGTTCTTCCAGCTCCAAATACACACCCCTCTGAGGTGAGATGTGTGTATTGAATTTCCAAAGTGATATGGCTGGTCTGCAGAGAATTCTGTTACCACTGAGACATTTAATCTGATTTACCAAAAACCAAGGACCTGTGGCACAAAACAAATGTAGTTACTTTTAGATGTTTGCTCTAATGACAGAAGAATTCAATTTTGGTCTATTATTCAAGATAAAAATGCTTGGTTATCCTTGCTTACTTTCTGTACTGCACTATAAGCACTGTACAACAAGTTACAGTGCATCTATGAAAATTGCTAAATTATTTTTCAGGTTTCCTGTGCAAAGAATTCCAGCACTATGACCAAAGTATATGTTTCCATAAAAAAAAAAAAGGGAGAGAGGAGAAGCTTTCACCTATGCTCTAGCTGCAGAAGTTATGCAGAAAGATGCATTGTTTGGTGGTTCTTTGAATTTGAAAACCATCAGATGCTGAATTGCTATTAAATTTATGGATCATAGTTTAATTTTTATTTATTTGTGTTTGAGTTTGAAAATTTGTTGTATTATTACAAGAGGACAGAGCTTGTTTTTGCTCCTGGGCAATCAGTCATGTGAATAGCATTATGGGTTTTTGCCCCTCTCTTTTCTAATTCAAAATACCTTTTGAAATTAAGAAAAAAAATGCAGAAAGCACTCATTTCTACCATTTGAGCTTCTTTCTGTGTGGTCTTTAGTGACAGCTTTATGAATTATTTAATCATGAAATAGAAAGGAGGTGAGAGAGAAAGACATATTTGCATAAAAATTATTTTCTTCTCCATGTGTAATGAGGTGGCTGTTTAGACAGCTTATGTGCTTTTATCTTTCATGTGAGATATCAGGTCACTGCCCTTTTTTTTTTCATGTGATAAGCCCCTGGAAGCCAAATAACAAAATTACATGAAATAATTGTAGTAATAATTTATAATAATAATAATATAAATCTACATTACTCTAGTCATAATAGCAACATATAATTTATTTTCAGGCTATTTTAATAGAATGCATTGATAGGGATTTCCTTTTCAGGGGCAAAAAGAGGTGAGTCCCATCTATTAATTCCCAAAATTTACTTTATTTAAGGGCCATTTCCCTCTTAGAAGTTGTATTGATGCATAAAGAAATTTCTTCCAGATTGCAGGAGGGTATATCAGTAGGTGTATGGCAAAAGGATGTGCAGTCCATAGGTGTATGGATTGCTGGGTATAAGAAGATATGGGAGGAGCTGATGAGCAAAATAGGAAACTCCATGCTACAGAGATGCATCCCACTCCAGAGAGTGCCTCAGGGAGAAGAATAGTCACCACAGGCTGCTTTTTTGTCTGACAGAGGACGAGAGGCCACTTAGTGGATGAGGGAAAGGTTACGGTTGTCGCTTACCTGGACCTTAGTAAAGCCTTTGACACTATTTCCCACAGCATTCTCATGGAGAAACTGGCTGCTCTTGGCTTGGGCAGGTGTACCCTTCACTGGGTAAAAAACTGGCTGGACGGCTGGGACCAAAGAGTGGTGGTGAATGGAGTTAAGCACAGTTGGTGCCCGGTGACAAGTGGTGTTCCCTAGGGCT